TGGGATGGGCTAGCTTAGACCTTGGGCCTCATTAATCCTAACAAACAGTGCGAATTATAAACAGACGCTGAACTCCAGACAATAATTTTCATCCCTTTCCCAAGTAAAATATAAAGAACAAAACAGAAACTTTGTTCCCAGAAACAATATAATTCAAGTCAATTGAAACAAGGTAAATCCTTTGCATTACACAAAATTAACCCAACAGAGGAAAGGTCTGAAACCAAGGGCAGGGATGAGAATTACTGTAATGACTGCAGATGAACAGATCGTCAGCTTAGACGTTGATCCTCATGAAACTGTTAAGTACCCTTTTATCCCTTCTTTATGCTTATCCTAAATCTCTGTTTCTTCGCTGATTTTTGATTTTTTTTCTGTCTTATAGGTTGAAAATTTGAAAGCTTTGCTGGAAGTGGAGGTCAGTTATATATACCCTTTTGGTTTATATGCTTCCTTTTGAGATTATTTAAGATTACTTTGTTTTCATTTCTTTGGTTCTCCCCAACCCCAAGGGTTTAGGGTTTTTGAAAATGAACTGTTGACTTCCATTTGCTTATATATGTTACTGGATAAAAGATTCGATTTTTTACATGTATTGGAGTTTTGAGAGTTGACTGTGATGCTAAGCTTATGCTGATTGGTTAGAACTTGTTTGGGTTTATGCCAGACAAATGTGCCATTGCAGCAGCAGCAACTTCTTTATCATGGGAGAGAAATGCAGAATTCTGAGAAATTGAGTGCTTTGGGTGTTAAGGATGATGATTTAGTTATGATGATCTCCAGTGCTGGTTCTAGGTAAATTATGCATTGGTTACTCATTTGCTTCTTTTTGTTTGAATCTTTTGAAATGTCAATACTGGATTTTAAAGGGACCTGGATGTCTGTTATGAAATTTAGCGCGGCTGTTTTTCTATAGTTTTACTTCATGGAAAGAAGGTTCTCAATCTTTTATTCTTTTTGTTGATTGATAAGAATATGAATCATTTACAGAGCACCTACTAATGATTTGAGCTTCAATCCCGATGGATCCGCTGTGAACCCTGGAGCTTTTCAGCAACATATTCGAAGCGATTCAAATCTAATTGGACAAATATTCCAGGCTGACCCTGAACTTGCACAGGCTATTCTTGGGAATGATCTCAACAAACTTCAGGACATCCTACGAATGCGTCATCGACAACGATCAGAATTACGACAAAAGGAGGAGGAGGAGCTTGTGAGTAGCTTTTCCTAGTGGTCTGTTCCTGTAGGTGGTTTAGTATGAGTGGCCAAATGTAAACACTACTTTTGCTTCATTATATCACGATTTAATTATCGATAATTTTATTAATTCTAAAAGAGCTTAATCATACTTATGATAATATTAAATTTCCAGATCATTTCTGTGATTGATGCTCATGTATTTGATTTTGTGCCATAGGCTCTTCTTCAGGCTGATCCTTTTGATGTTGAAGCACAAAGGAAAATTGAAGCTGCCATTCGGCAGGTTAGTTTTCTCCAACATTCTACTAATCTAACTTAGTTGGAACCTACTCACATTTGAAATGTGTCGAATGTTAATTTATGGTTTGACCAAGGTGGTTGTATCCACATGCATGTCCCTTATTTTTCTGGTCAATACGATCTTTGGGCTATTTGAAAGTTTACAATATTGTGATACAGAAAGGGATTGATGAGAATTGGGCTGCTGCCTTGGAACATAATCCTGAAGGTTTTGCAAGGGTGGTATGTAGGCTTGTCTCCCTTGTGAAGTGTACCTACTAAATTTCATTACTTTTTTCCCCTTACGAATTTGATGTTTCTTGTCATACTAATCAGGTTATGTTGTACGTGGACATGGAGGTTAATGGTGTCCCATTAAAGGTAGAGATGATGGCTGATATTGTATATAATCAAAAGGGGTCATTGTTATGTACTTCAGCCTATATAGATTCAATCATAATTCATACCCTTTATATTACATGCACATTTTCTTCTAATGTTCATCATGTGGTTATCCTTTTCTTTCTTTTACACCTTTAAAAAAACCATGTTGCAGTTGTTTATTATAGAGTTTTAGTTGAGATTCTGTATTGCCATAATATTCTATTGCATATACCTTGATGTTAAATATCGAACTCTTATAAATTTATTATCATTTTATCTTTTATCTTTCAGGCATTTGTTGATAGCGGTGCGCAGTCAACTATAATTTCAAAAAGCTGTGCCGAGCGTTGTGGGTTTGTGCTATAACCTTCTTCCTTTTTTGCATATGTAGCAATCCCTTTGCTTTATAAGTCATCATGGCACAATTGGATTAGTCCTTGAAATATTCCTCTTTCCTTTTTATGTGGGAGAAAAGTTTGGGGGAGTTTGTAAGTTTATGTTCCATGTTACTCGGACTTGGGTGTATGTTGGATATGGGTATGTACCGTACACAAGTATGGTTAGATTTTTCTATTCCCCCCCCCCATGTTTTTGGAGGCCCTTAGAGGTCGTATTCCCCTATCCATGCTTCGGACACGTGTCGAATACAGGTGCTTAAAGAAAAACAGTTTGAGCGACATAGTGACATCATTGTCTGGCTTATTGAAAATGGTCGATGATGTTCACTTAATGTTTTCTTCTCTGTTCTTGAATTGGTCATGTTATTATATTTGTCTCTTCATATGACTTCAAAACATATTGGTTCATCTTGCTTGGCTGGTGTTGACCCCTCCAGATTGCTGAGGCTTTTAGATCAAAGATATAAAGGTATTGCTCATGGGGTTGGCCAGTCAGAGATTCTGGGACGTATTCATGTTGCTCCAATCAAGGTAGGATGCATTATGATTTTCTCGTATCAGATTATGTTCAATATTCTTTCTTTTTGGTTGCTTCTTTTATGAAATTAGTCTGATAAGTAGTCTTATCCTATGTGTTGTGTATCGGCCCATAACTGTCATTACGTAACATAATTATAATTGATAATATGAATGAATCCAACTTCTTGGTTTGTTTCATGTTATCGTAGATTGGAAATATATTTTATCCATGCTCCTTCGTGGTTCTGGACTCTCCCAATATGGAGTTTCTCTTTGGATTGGATATGCTACGCAAACACCAGGTACCTTTAGCTCTACTTAATTTCCATACATATCCACCCGTTTTAGTTCTTAAGTTTCAATAATTCTGACTCGTGCAATTTGTTCAGTGTATTATTGATTTGAAGGAGAATGTTCTTAGAGTTGGAGGAGGAGAAGTTTCTGTGCCATTTTTGCCAGGTTGGTGACTTTAATTGGTATACTATGCAATTACGTGAGTTACCAGTTACCATGTGGTCATTGATGGCCATCTTTTTCGGGACTTTGTTCTACTAAATTTCTTTTCTTATAATGGAAGTTAACAACATATTTACTCTTCTCAGAAAAGGACATCCCTTCTCATTACCTTGATGAAGAAAGGAATTTGAAGCAAGCATCCAGCTCAGGAGCTGCTGTAAGTCCTTTTTCTATCTGCTACTGCAGATTTTGACTTTCATTCAATTGTGCATGGATTGCTGTTTATAATCATGAAATAAGTTGCATGTGTACAACTTCCAAGCCACTCCAGTCTTTTCTTTTATGCGCTTTCTGGATCTCTTCTACCTTGAAATTATGTCTCACGAAGGAATTACTTGGCTCTCATAAATTCCCATGTCTGAGAGGAACCTAGCTATGGTTCCATGTTTTACATTGTTTTTTTTTGGCTTCAATAGACTCCATGGCTTTTATGGACTGATAATTTGTGATTCTTCAGATGAAAACTGGAACCACAGAGAAGAATGCTAACGTGCAATCTGGAGGTCAACCTTCTGGTTAGTAATTGGCATCTGACCCATGTTGTAATTGCATGCATCTTGTTGCTTTTATTCCCAGAAATTCATCCAAGTTTATTGTTAAATTGGTGTGTGCACACATGATATATATACATATATTCAGCACTAATTTGTTTTCCTTGAGCATGCTTTTATCGCTCGAAAAGAGGTGTCACGGAAGTCCTCTCCAAGTGATTCTTATTCAAATTCTGACATTTTTTTTCTTTCTTTGCTCCCAGGGGGTGCATATGCTGATGTAACACGGGTATGTCTACCATCTTGGCAGAATATTTCTCCATCCTGAGGTTGATCATATATATGTTCCAAGTTAAACAGCTGTCCTAAAATTTAGAGTTGTTTTGATAATCTGCAGAAATCTGATTTTGAAGCTAAAGTAGCAAAGCTTGTTGAGCTGGGGTTTGCAAGAGAAATGGTGATAGAAGCTCTAAAATTATGTGATGGCAATGAAGAGCAGGCTGCTGGGATTCTCTTTGGAGGCTAGAGATGATATCCCATTTCTTATTCTTAGAAATAATATTGATCTTCTTCAGTTATTCAATGGCAAGCTTTTTAACACATCCAAAATTCTGTACTTGGTATGCATTTTGATTGGAGCTGTTTATGAACAACTTAGTATTGCAATTCTAAAGAAAACTTGAGCTACTCTTATTTTCCCAATTCCATTTTTATTTTCTTTGTTTTAAGCAGATAAAAGTTCAATGAAAATATTGCAATTTCAGCAGTTTTATAGTGGTGCTTTCCATAGCTATGTTCATCATTAATTGCACTTAAGATGCATTATCATTGTTAAACAAATGCACCTACTCAAGACCAGGGTAATACAAGGTACATTCCTACAAGCTTATATTTTGCATTAATCCATGTGCACTTCAAACTCAAAACCAATCCGCTGAAAAATCGTCTACATAAACTTAATTGAACCTAACTAGATAATTTGATCCTACTTCCAGCTTAATTCAACTTTCAGAATCGTATTCAATAAATTTTGAGTCAAGTTCGAGCTTCTCATTACTTAACTTGATTGTAAACCTACAAAACACCATAATCAATTAAGTTCCATTGTGATAAAATTCAACAAGCATTATAAGGGTAGTTTACAAAAATATCACTCAATGCCTCCCAATCATAACTTTGATTGAAAATACTCTCTCTAAAGCACACTCTATCATGTTGATCTATCATATTCTTCATTCATTTTTTTCCCTTCAAGGGTTCATTGTAGATAACTCTTACAAATCAACTACTCAGAGAACAAAATCTCAGACATATTCCAAATAACAAAGATCAAAACCTTTCTGCCAATCTAGCAGTAACTTGTCTAAGTTTCGAGTAAACTTTTCCAGCAGGGGAACCTAAAATGAGACTGCAAAGAGAATCCCTAGCAATCTTGATGTTGGCAAAAGATCCCAGTATATGAATCTTGGTATCAGCAATGACAATCCTAGTCTTTGTAGCATTCTCAATGGCAAACTTCGTTTTACCGCCTTTCCCGGATAATCTTCCTATGGCGCGAGACAAGTGCTCTCCTCTAAGTGTTTTGACATCCTTGATTTCGAAGGATTCCGCATATAGCTCATCCAATCTCAAAAGAGCAATGGCATCTGGAACATCAAAACCCAACATGAAAGCCTGGACAAAGTCGGCACACTTTTGTAGGTTACTAATGTCGGGCGTCTCAGGTCTCGTTTTCAATTCAACCTTCCGAGCTTTGAGATTCATACGGATGTCGACCTTCATCTGTTCATAAATTGGAGTATAGATATCCAACCAGTATTTCTTGAGAGGTGAATACCTATGAGGCGGAACTGAAACCTTCCTGAACTGGACTCGACCATCAGACATCTCATGAGCCTTAAGAGGCTCGAATTTTGGCTTTGGGGGCAATGTATTTGGTTCGGGTTTAGATTCAGAAGGCAATGATTCAATCTCCATGGTGGCAGGTGTTTCGGTAGACATCTTAACAAAAGCTAGTTGGAGTCTGAATAAGAAATAACAAAAAAGCTCAAGTTATGATCAATGTTCAAAGTAAAACATTCAAGGGGGCAAAAACATCATCATCAATTATAAGAAATACCTCAAAGCATGGATGTAAAACCCAAATCCGATAGTTCAATCATATAAGTCGATTTTTCATCATTGTTTTCTGTAAATATAATTTCTCTTTTTTTTTTTACTTCTAAATAACATCCCGTAATTTCCATTAACGCATAAACTAATTCAGTTTGGTTCTTCCAAACATGCCTATAAGATATTATCCTAATAAAGGAACACTATTAAATCTAAAAGAACAAATGTAATGGCATCAACAATGTTACTTTTATTAAATTCTTCATCTCTAAACATCACAATTCATAACAATAGAAACTTCAATAATACCCAAAAGAACAAATCTTGCATAGACCCAAATTAAAAACTGGAGAAAAGTTGATCTCTTTGGAAACATCAATACATGTAAGTAAATCCCAAATCATTGGAATTGAAAACGAAGAAATATAGGAATCAAAAGGTTGAGCTGACCTGGACTGGATTTGAAAGGCTAATTCGGCAGAATTGGTCCTTCAAAAGAGAGAAGATCGCTAAGGTACACCGATGCCTCAATCGAATTTAGCTGGGAGTCTGGAAGCCATAAGCAGCGTCAAACAACCACGAAGAAAGAATAACCGCAAACTGAGTACGGAAATCTTTTAAAACCCTAAACCTTACCGTACGTTTGAAAATAAAAGATTATCATGAATATGTTTATGTTTACCGGCAATGTTGTATTTTATATTTAATTGGTTTAGTAGAAATGTAAGATTATCATATTTGGTTAAACGAATAAAATATTATTGGAATGTATATTTGATCAAATTATCCTTATTATATATTTGTTTTTTTAACAAGTTAAAAAATATTTATATATTTTAAAAAAAAATCATAAAATTCATTTTACAAAATTGAAAATATAAAAAGATTTAATGAAATTATAAAATTTTATTTTAACTCCTGAACTTCATATAAAATTTTAATTATAGACTTCTTTTGTAAATCTAAAATAGTTGAACGATAAATTTGTAATTTAACTTTCGTAGAATTTTTATTATTCAATGACAGATTAAGAATATTTTTGAAAGAAAAAAAATTAAGGGCATTTTAGACCAAATTGCCGGTAATCCAACAATACCTAAGGAAAATGAGGTAATGACATTTCCAGTAATATACCCAAAAAAATCCACTATTGATAATGTAAGATTACCGGGAATGACATTCCCGACCAACCAAACGGGGGAATATAGATTCTATTCCCATGAAAATCTCACATTCCCCCAACCAAACACACCTTTATGGGTACTTATGAAACTGTGCTTTAAATTTTGGGCTTTGATTAAATGAACTCTATTTTTGTTTGTAATTGTAGTCCATAGCCTTGTAAATCAAGCCCAAACTGATTAGATAAGGGGTTGTTATTACTATTTTTTTAATTATTACTGAACTAATATTTCTTTTAAGTAAAAATGTCACTAATGTTTTTTTTTTCATATTTATGACACAATATTTTTTAATTTTTTTTCAAATTTCTCTCCTTTTCTTTCTCCTCATCAACTGTTCATATATATTTTCTTTAATACTTTTATTTAATCAATTCGATTATGGAATGTATAATCATCTAAATTTTCTTTAATTTTATTTCACCAATACGATAGTGACATATGATACCATCTTGCATAGAGATCCAACATCCAACTATTAAATTAGATCAGGTTTTGTTAATTTTTTACTAAAATTTATATTTAAGATATATTATATCATCGTATGAACCAAGTGATTTCAGTCTTTAAAAGACTTCTTGTTTTCCTTTGAGATATCGGATTTGAACATCATGTGTGTAAGGATATGAGCAATCACCTTATTAAAGAGTTGAGAATCTTTGAATATATACTACATTGTATTCACCTCAAATTTACGAGTTAAAAATGTATTAAAATGTAATATTGACGTCTCCGTAAGAATAAAAAAACTAAAAAACAATCATTCTATTTAATTATTTATTTTCAATATGACATTTCTTTCTAAACCTTTTTCACCTAATGAATGGAATGAGAAGTATAATCAAACCCCCAATAGTTTAAAAAATGAAAACAAAATCTACTTATGCTTCACCACCAAGGGACTTCTAACATAGTGGTACCCATCTGACCATGTCAACAACCCAAATACATACCCTTCATCACCTGCTGATGATCCTACAACTTTCCTCTTTGTTTTAAATGTCACTTCAAATTTCAACTCTTCACCAATCTTCTCAAACGTCAATCTCGATGGTTTAACCGTAACCGTAACTCCGACGGGCGATCTGACATGGGCTAAATATGTCCCCGGCATACCTACATTCTTAACTTTCCTTCTAATAGCGGCTGAGCCCTTGAATTCAGGGACTGTTATGGAAGGGTAGTTCAAGTCTGTAACACTGTTTGATTTCGGGCATGAGAATGGCTTGTCTGAGAACAGTTGTATCATGGTCTGGTTGTAGCCTCGAGCACACAAGTAGTTCAGGTAATCATCGACGTTTAAGTCGTAGACAAGACCGGGATCCATTGCACGGTTCGCTCTCACATGTCCTGCACCATATTCGAATGGGGTTGCCTTTTTGTTGTCTGAATCGAGCATTGGATTCAAGGTGTTGTCTCTAGTTCTTGCGGTGGTCATGATGGCAGATTTTAAAGCAGCAGGGCTCCAATCAGGGTGGAGACTCTTGAGAAGGCCGATGATACCAGAAACGTGGGGGCATGACATGGAAGTTCCAGACTCTGAGGTGAAGGGTATTCTTCGTTTGTCGGAGTCGTCTTCGGTTGGTCCGACTGCTTCAGAGTATGCAGCAATGATGCTCACTCCTGGTGCAGTTATATCCGGCTAAAAACAGACATGAATAACGTTAGATTTTTCTATTCAGTGATGTGTATGTGTAAACTTGCAGTTATATCATTGCAGGTTTACCTTGAGGATTGCTGGATCAATAATGTTGGGGCCCCTAGAAGAGAAAGAAGCCATAAATGGTGCAGGCTCTGCGTCCAATATTGTCTTAACTGGTGTTATATATGCTGTAGGGTTCCTATCATATGATCAAATATATATATATATATACACACACGAATGAGTTATTATGGAGGAAAAGCAATAAAACGTGAAGTAGATTGAAGTAGAAGTAAGAAAGATACTTGGTTGAATTGATGTATGCGAAAACTGTGAGACCATCAGTGTAATTTAAGTGAGTAGCCGGAAGCAAATGAGGATCAGCTATAATTTCTTTTCCACTTTTATTATCGTTCGCTAGAACCATACCGACTGCACCTGCATGAAGAGCCTGCATTCCTTTATCGGTTCTTGCGTTATCTCCGCGAAGGCATACTAATATCTTCCCTTTAACCTTTTTGGGATCCAATGATCCCGCTTGACATAGGATACTGCATGAAAAAAAACATAAGCTGTTAATCGAGTGATATAAAAAAGATACAGAGTTACAGTTCCAGGGTGCAGGAGTAAGCTTACGCAACACTAGCAGAGGCGCTGGCCGCTTTGGCCTGTTCGGCACTGATAAGCGGATACTGAGTTTTCGATTTCAATGTTGCAGCAGCAAGGCTAACTCCCTGACAAAGGATATACAATAAGAACAAGAAGCAAACAATACAGAGATGAAATTAGTTATTAACCAGCACATAATTATCATACCTTGAGACGCATGTTATTTCCTAGCTCAACATAACTCGTAAACTCCCTGTCAAGTGTGCTAGCACCAACGGTAAACATCCATGGCGACAAGTTCTCCGCAGTTCCTGGAGTCGGTCCAGAGTTTCCAGCAGAAAAAACGACAGAAATCCCTTTCTTGACAGCATGGAAGGCACCGATAGAAGTACCATCTTCAAAAAACTCAGATGGACCGCCACCCAACGATACAGAAAGCACGTCGACACCATCACTTATAGCAGCATCAAAGGCAGCAACGATGTCTGCATCAAAACACTCGCTACCATCGATGGGTGGCCAACACACTTTATAAGCAGCAACACGGGCTTTAGGAGAACCTCCCTTTGCAGTACCATTGCCATGACCAAAAACGCTAGCACCATCAACAAAGTTGCCGCCTGCTGTCGATAGAGTGTGGGAACCATGGCCGTCGTGGTCCCTTACAGTCTCAAAGGTTGCATTTAGTTTTTCGCTGACAAAAGCGGAGTAGCCTTTGTTAAAGTACTTAGCTCCGATCAGCTTCCTGAAAATTTTAACAAAAGATCAATTGAAGAAAGTTATCTTAGCTAACAAGTTTTACCTAATAGAAAGTAAGATAAGAAGCCATTGTGCTGCACAAAAAAGAGGTTAAAAAGGTAGAAAACAATAAGAATTATGACTTCATGATTTCCATGGTTAACTGTCAACATCAGTGTAAGAACAGTGTAAGAATAGATGGTGATGGTGATGGATAGTCCATTTTTTTTAAAAAAATAGTATTTAAGGTTATTTTAAGAATTACATCCTATATCTATAGTCAAATATATGTCATATATATGCATAAAACATAGTTTTTTTTTAAAAAAAAGAGAGAGAACCTAAAAGCCATGATTGATGATTTTGCCAACTTAGAATCAAAACCATGTGCATTGATTCAGAAGACAGCAGAGATCACTTAAAAAAACTTTAAAATAACATACGTTGATTTTGATCATGGTAAATAGTGAATATAGATTAATGAACCCAGATATTTGCTTACTTAACTTGACTGTCAAGCATGTGGTAGGGAAAATGATAATAAATAAATAAAGCAGGACACAAAGGAAATCACGTGTGAATAAACAAGCAATAACTAGGAAAATGTAGAAGTCAAAGAGATGCAGAGACAAATTAAAAGAAACAATAAACAAAGGGAAAAAAAGAAATGGCGGGAAAATACTATGAAATGCAATAATGTTATAGAATTTGAAAGCAAGTTATATTTATATATATTCATTTAAAAAAACAGAATGGATGTGAGATTCACATATGAATTCCACTATCAGTCCATAAACCATAAAAAAGAGGGTCAGAGGCACCACTTTAGAAAAACTTCAAAGAATGGGCCCTTTCTCCTTTCAAAAACTTTGCCTCATTATTGAGGTAGCTATTGCATGTATGAACATTACTTTAAATGAATATATATTCCCTTCAAAAGCACTCCTGGTTTCCCAAATTTAGCAATGATATTGCAGTTTGCAATAAAGCTTTCAATAATGATTTCCCAAATTTAGCAATGATATTGCAGTTTGCAATAAAGCTTTCAATAATGAACAATCACTATATCCTTAATCTTAAAAGTTGTTTTGAGGAAGCGATATTAACCTGTTACAATGAACAGGAACATCGGCGCCACGTTGACAAGACCCTCGCCAACGAGCCGGGACCGGTCCCATGCCATCGTCACTAAAGCTCTTAGATTCCGGCCAGACTCCTATACATCAGATAAGCCATTAAAGGGGGAAAAGCAATTACTTTTTAGCCGAAATATGTCAAAACATGGTAGCCATTGACAAGCAAACAGTGGCATACATAATATAAAAGAAAAAAGGAAGCTAAAAAAAAGCATGTATTGTATAGTCAAAAATTATTTGCTGTTGACCCTACCACTGTCATATTGATATAATGTTAAAAAAATGATCGAATTATTCAAAACAAATGATCGAATTATTCTGCAGATTAATGGCAAAAAGCTGAGTTTTTTCCCCATTCAAATTAATAAATCTGCATTAGTTTTAAGATCATTTGAAACTCTTTTGTTAATGATTAAGTCAAAACAATATCATAGTCAACTAGCAAGAGGCATATTTGATTAAATGATTCGTTTTTAAACGTGTAAACATCAAATCAAAAACGCAAAGTTTCATGCAAAAAAATGAATGATAATGGATAATCAAAACTGCCGAAAGAAATATGGGAAAAAAGATACAAACTTTACCAGTGTCAAGGTTTCCAATGATTGTATCTTCGCCAAATCTTGCCTTCGTCCAGAGAGAATCCAAAGGAACAATTCCATTTCTCTCCAATCTGAGAAAATCCCATGATCGTGTTGTGTGAAGCTTTCTTCCTTTGTTTAAAAAAACCGAAACCACATTCGGGTGCTCTACATCGACAGATGATGGAACAATGAGGGATTATGAAAAAGAAAACAGAGCAAAGAAAGAGTAAACAAAATTGAAGAACTTGAAAAACTCTCACTTGCAATCTGTGATGCTTCTTCCTCATCAAGGATAGCCGCAAAACCATTGATGTTCTTAGTATACGAGTAGAAAATTCTCTCCTTAGCAGTTCCAGTACTGTGGAAGTAAATTGAAACGAATGCATTAAAAAGGAGGGGAAATGAGAACATTTTCATGTAATCATCAAATTATATACCTTCCCACAAATGAACCCAGTAATTCGTAATGAGAATCTGTGAACAGTCTTGGAAGTAAGAAACAAAGAATCAAACAAATAATAATAATAATAATAATAGTTGAAGAAGCTTTACTCGCCTTTCTCAAAGCAAAAGTTGGAGTCTGCAAAAGAGAAAAAAAGAAGACCGGTAACAGCAAAGGAGAAAGCATTGAAGAAATCCCCATTGCTTTGTTTGCTTTAAGAAAACTATTTCAATCTCCTTCTTTGTGAAAGAGATGGTGTGAAGGGACTCTGCTCTCTCCCCTGTTTTTAAACTCTGTTTTTGTAGCTTTTGGTTTGGAAACAAATTCTCTTCTTCCCTATGATAACGGATAGCTATGGAATTCCCCCATTTTTGCAAAGCAACTTTTTAGGAATGGATTGATTTATGAATTTATCCATTTATATTACATTATATTTTGTATTTATTTGTAACAAATTCCCATAGAATTTATTCACACCAAAACCATTTTTTACATTTTAATTTAAACTTTTTAAAATATATATTTTGATAATGTGATGAAAGATAATCTGAATAAATTCTTTGAAGCCAAGATAGCGCACATATCTGCAAATTTGATGGAGATAATTAGTGCATTATCAATAGGACAATGATTTTATAGGAAGAGATCAAAGTTAAACAGTCCTACAAGCTTAGGGATTCCTTTTTCATTATCAATAAAATTTAGAATAAACTATGTCCTTAGTCACCCAGCTATCACTTTGGTTCTATTTTGGTCACTCACTGTTAAAAAATAAATAAAATTGTTGATGTGGTATATTTATTTTTTTAATGATGTTGCATTACCTTATGATGATATGTCAATATCAATGTTAATTTTATAATAATGAGTGATCAAAACAGAATCAAAATGATAATTGATCGAGTAAATACGTAGTTTACCTCAAAATTTATCATGAAACAAAAATAAATAAATAAAAATTCTAAAAGGTATTTTTGTTGGGGTTGGGACTATAAATAAAGGTGGAAAGCTCAAAAGTGTATGCATCAATATTTTTATATTTCTAACAAGTTTTACATCATGGAAATAAATAAAGTTACATGTGAAAGTTTTAATCTTTTCTTATTTGCCTTAAAAGTTAACATTTTTTTTATCTTTACTTATTTTTAATTAATATGATTATCCGTTTATTGATATAAGCTTAATACAAGAAAAATATTTTTTATTAAATAATAAAATATTATATTTTTAAGATAAACATCGAAATTTAGACTCACGTAAAATAAGACAATATAATCATCCAAATAGTATTTTTCTTAGTGCGAGAAGAATGGGAGATATGGAATTCTACGCTATAACCTATAAAATAAGAAAATGTTAAAATAATGTCATTATAAAAACTTGGAAGAAAATAATCAAGTAACGCAACGTATATATAGGGATCGGCATTCCGACCCGATCCGCATGAAATACTTCACCAACCCGATATAATTTAAAAAACCGATCCAACCTAAAATAATAATAAAATATATTTTTATTTAATAAAAATAATGACTTAATTGAAAAAAATAATATATAGAGGTATTATTATAATTATTCAAATATATAAAGTAAAATTATATATTTTTCGAGTCGGGTATTTTCACCCTAAACCTGAACCAAACCCGACCCATCACTTTAAAAAAAAACTGACCCGACCTGGTCCGAACCCAAATTTTTTTAAAAAAGACCCGATTCAGATCAGAACTTATCGGTTTGAGTCCCATGCCCATCCCTACGGTATATATCTTTTAATTGTTTTTTAAGCCATTTATAAAATTTGGGTTTTAGAAAAAATATTAATATGGATGGATTTACATTGAACGTGCACATCAAAACATATTATGGATTTTACATTGAACGTTGCACATCAAAACATATTAATGCAATACATCGAAACACATTATTAATTAAGTTGTTCTTATTTAGTAATATTAAAAAACTCAATGGTCACTCCATGATTAATCTAATTTAAGAATTTAATTTTAATTATTTTAATATGGGTAATTATATTTTTAGTACTTAGGTGTTGTTTGTTTTTGCAGAGGTAAAAGGTCTGCGGACCACATCTGTAGGCATCTGCAGCAAAAGATGTGGACCAAAAGTCTACAGTCTGTAAGAAGAAGACTGTTTATTTTTTAACGTCTGCAGACTGTTAAAATAAACTGAAATATAAATAAACTGATTTTTTAAACTTAAAAGAGTTTAGCAATACTGAGATTTAAATAATTTTAGTTTTACAATACTGAAATTTAAATAATTCATACAACTACAATAATAATTTTTTTAGAAAAACAAACACCACCTTATTAATTCAATTATAAGTCTTACATAATCACATGTATTATTAGTTTTATAGAATAAAATTTATAAATAATCATTAAATTATATGATTTTTTTAAATATGTAATTATATAATACTTTTACTTTTTTTAAATATATATTCATAATTTATTTTTATAATTATAAGATATTTTTAGAAAATATTTTTTAATTTATAAAATTATTTTATGATTATTTTTTATTTAATTGTGATTATATTTTAAAATTTTAAAAACATAATTTATAATTTTTTATATTTTAAAATCTTAATTATCAAACAATGAAATCATTTTTTATTAAATAATGTGGTTTAAATACTTATATTTTGTATAAAAAGTTTAAATATAATTTAAAAATAACAAATCCAAAAAATATTATATTTAAAATTAAATCAAAATAATTAAAATAAATATAAAATTTTAATAATATATAAAATAATTTATATGATACAAAATTAAATATCTTTAATATAATATTAAAAAATTAATATTTAATTTATTTAAAATTAATATCTATAATATAATATTAAAAATTAATATTTCATTTATTTAAAAAATTGATATTAAAATCAAAATCAAATATATTATAAAATTAAATATAAAACCTCTTTGAAGAGGTTAGAAGACTTCTGCAGACATAAGGCCACGTCTGCGTCACGCAGACCACGCGCAGACGTTAGAAGAGTTTCTGTCTTCTAAAAAACAAACGGTCTGCGAAGTCCAATGTCTGCGCGTGGTCTGCGCGGCGCAGACATAAGAGCTTTGCAGACCTTACACAGTAAAAATAAACACCACCTTAATCTATTAATTTTGTACCACTTTAGTACCTAAACTTTTTTTTTTAAAAAATCATACCCATCAATGTTGACGTGGAATGACATGTAAACTTTTTTATCTTTTTAGATTTTCATGTCATATTTCTCTTTCTATCTCAGTTCATTTTGGATAAGCCAATTAATATAATTATTCATTTATTTAATTTAATAAATGAACGCTAAAAAGAAAAATTCACGAACAATATTTCGTTGAACGCTCTATTTATTTATACCTTTAATGGCAACTCCTTTGGTAAGGCTCTCTTTTGATGGAACACCTTTATCTTACATGACACAAGAGTTTAGAGTTTAGGGTTTTATCAATAAAAACAATAATTCGAGTATTATTTAAATAAAATTATCTCAGAAATTGCATTTCATGACATCAGCTATTAGTGTTTCCCATTTCATATTCAATGGAGATTGTAGATTAGCTACTGCGTTATCCAAACTATAAGTCTCGTGTATATTAGTATATATGCCTGGATAAAAAAGTGAATTTCATTCGCAAGTTTACCACCTTCATGGTGGAGACTGTTCCGATTACACCGTATATGCCTGGATAAAACAGTAAATTCATTATTGTTGATGAGATCTGTATAAAATTATCTCACCTTACTTTTGTTTCACTTCTTTACGGAGATAAAACACTTAATTATCGGTCAACAATCAATCTATTATTAATTATAATTTTTTTAAATTAAAAAGAATAAATCGTTAAATAGTTATTATATTCTATTTAATCCTATCAACGATTATCATTTTTTAGAATTGCCCGTCCAGCTCAGTTGGTAAGAGCACAAAATTCTTAACCTTGTGGTCGTGAGATCGAGTCTCATGGTGGAAAATTCATAATTCTGACTGTCGAAGGTCTCCTACGGAAGCTGCTCTCAATCTGGCGTTGGGGGCAGCCTACTATCCTATCTCTCTCTTACCCCATTACGTTGAGAGCAACCTACTATCCTACCTCTCTCTTACTCCATTACATATGGGAATAAGGTCGGTTAACTATTATCATTTTTGACTTGGGAGAAATCCAAGTCCAGTGCACGACCGATTTGAGAATCTCTTAGCACAAATTGGAAACAAATAGGGGCTTACGTTGTCTTAGACCACAAGCCCATTGAAAGGAGGCAAAATTATCCCAATAAGGTATATGAGTTTTTTATTTAGTCTATTAGGACAAGTCAATATTTATTTTAAGATCTAGTCTTTTCTACTGTGACACGGAATTCGTCACGTCGAAATGACGAGTTTTAATAAAAAAATATTTTTTATTTTAACTTTTTACATCGATGTGATAGATTTTAATAAAAATTTATATTTTATTTGAACTCGTCACCTCGCGTGAAGAGTTTGAATAAAAAAATATGAGTTTGAATAAAAATATTTTTTATTAGAACTCGTCACGTCGGCATAACGAATTCTAATAACATTGTAAAAATATATTGTAGATCCCAAAATAAATTTTGACTTACCCTAATGGATTAAATAAAAAACCTCGTTATCTTTATTGGACTAAATCAGCTTTGGAAGGAATTACCTTTACAATCATTAAAACATTTCATTACCAAATCTGTCCAACTGGTGCGAAAACCATCATTCGTTCCAAAAATAACACTTCAACTCTCACATATGTTTTACTCATATCTAATTTTATCTTATTTTTATATCAATAAATGATTTAAAAAAAATAAAAACACTAAAATTTAATCTAATTAGTTAATATAAATCCTAACTAAATAAAAAAATATTTGAAAATAACAATTTACTTTTGGGTAAACCACAACATTCCTCACTTAATTTTACTTTCTCCTATTTCACTCACTGTACTTTTAATTTTTTCAATTTACTCACTAAATTTTTGAATTGCTCATGCTTTGGTCACTAAAAAATATTTATTATTATTATTATTATTATTATTATTATTCTATGACGTGACATTTTTATTATAAACAAAATATAAAACAATTTAAAATAAATAATATTTTCACTTCTCCACTATATGTAGCATCACCATCGCCATTTCTTGTCATTGTCGATCATT